GTCTTTCTCTGTTGTTTTGTAGCAAGCAAACAAAACTGTGAATCTTTTGTGCTTCTTTAAAAAACAAAAGTCCTGGACTCGTTTTGTATGTAGTACTCTGTGGTTTCATTTTGTGGTTTTGCCCTTTTGTGGTTGCTAAAACTTGTCTACATTAGTCAGAGAAGTGACACAGGTATTAAGGAAAACTCCTCTCCAGTTTGGGAAACAGTCATGGAGGGTGGAGGAAGATGCTTTCTTTCCCCTAATTACCTGTAAAGTGAACTGAAATGGCTAGAGCAGGCGCAGCCTCACAGTTCTACTGACTGATGCAAGACCAAAGTCTAGGTTGATCTGGAAGAGAAACTTCAACACAAATCCTACTATAACAAAGAGAGGGAGATCCTGCGATCCTTTGTCAACCTCATGCTGTAAAGCCCACAAACTGTAATTCCCTTATGCCCACAGCTTGTCTTTCATCACAATGAAGTTCATTTTTTTTCGCCACTTGTGAGGACATTTCAACAGAAAGCAGAATTTTCTGTGCAGCAATTTTCTGACGAAATGTTTCCACTGAAATCCAGGATGAAAAAGTTCCTTTCTCACCCAGGCAAAGGTATAGGTTTCAAATGACTAAAACTGAACCTCTGCAGTTTTACCCTCTGTTGCATTTTTTCCATTGTCAGTTGTCAAAAAAATACATTTCTGTCCACTGGAATGTCAAAAAATCCCTATCTCTGAAGAGAAAAAACAGATAAAATGACATTTTACAGATGGAGTTCAGTGGCACCCCTGTGAGTTCTCATCGACCATTCACCGGTTTCCTTCTCAGCATAGTAAAGCCACCAAACTCCCTCAAGGGAAAGAGGCTCCTTCCCGCTGCTTTTTTGGCTTTTATAGGCAGCCTGGCAATGATTTTAATGTTCCCAAAAGGAAAGATGCAGCAGCAGGCTAAGACAGTAAAGCATTTTCTCCCGTTCCAGGCAGTGTTGAAGGAAACTCCTCTGGGTTGCTTACTGTTCAGGGCCAGGGGCACTAAGAGCCTCCTGCAGCTGAAGCAGAGCAGTGACTTTACAGAAACAAGAGTAACTTCAAGGCTTTGCAGGGGCAAGCACTGCTGCCCCTGAAAGATCTGCACAAAGCTTCTCTGTCCTGCTGGTGGTGAAGGGCCTTGGGACTGCTGAGCACAGCAGCCTGCTCAGGGTGAAACATCACCAAACAAGTGTGTCAGACAGGTGGGACAAATCCCCCTGCTTGAGGAAGCAGAGGGGACTGGGGGCTTGGAATACATCAGGAAGAGAAGTGGTCTGTAAGTGATGAGGACAAATCCTAACACAACAGTATTTCTGTCTCCTGACAGCTAATTATTGCAGAGCTTTGGAGCCAAGGCTTTGCTGTGATAGTGACATTGTTTAATGAATCTCCATTTGTTTTCTCATCGTAAATATTTAAAGTACCTTCTATTCTCTATATGGCTTTTTGCCATCATAAAGAGACTGCTCTCACAGATCAGGCTGAATTCTCTCTTCTTTGAGGGGAGAAATAATTGCCTATGTGGAAGACTTGTGGAAGAATGGGCTGACTGAAAGGGAAAAAAGGAAACAACAGATACTGTTTAGGAAGACATTGTTAGGCAAAATGCCTCCATTGTTGAAGGCTCCGGGCAACATGGGCAAGGACAATTTCAGGTTGTGGCTGCTTGTCTTGTTCCTAGTGCCACGGTCAATTGAGCAAAAACCTGGAAGCCCTGGAAATACTTCTCTCATGCATGGTGTTTTTTCCCCAGTCTTTCAGCTGCCTATTCAGGATACATGCATGCATGCCTGTATGTGGGCTGCAGAGAGGAAACTGCAGTTTCTAAGGGGCCTTGTTCTCTCCTAGGGCTTGGAAAATGTCCCACCTGCCCCATGCCCACCCCACGGATTGGAAAGACTCTTGATCTCCAGACAGTGCTTGACATATTCCTCTGGAAAGGCTGCGTCTCCGTAGCAATGCTCTTTGGAAAAAGGAAACATGCTTTGTAAAAATGATGTCTCCCAGGCAATGCTGTTTGGAGGAGAGAAACCTGCACCTTGCATGGAACAAAGAAGCCCAGGGCATGAGAACAGGAAAGCAGTGCTGATCCTGGGTACTCAGAAAACATCTCTGTGACTCTGACTGTCCCAAGAATGACGCACTATCCACTGTTCAGTCCTGCATATGCCATGGCCTGTGGGAAGCATCCAGGAGGAAAACCCTGACCTGAAGATAGTTTAAAAAAATACACAGATGAAACACATACATACCATTTTGAAACATGTACACGCACATGGTAAGATGAGGAATTAGAGGAAGTGGAGCCCAATTCCTGGGACACATGCTTTCCCCAGAAGCAAGAATCAAAAATCTCAATTTCTTTATCACTAACTAAGGAATGAAGAATTTGAACCAGTCAAAACAATGGGTCTTCAAGCTGTTAGTTTCCATTTGACCTTTAAAAACATTTGTAATGTAAACCAAGTTACATTTCTAAGGTAGAAGTCATTCCAAACAAAAAATACCATTTTTGTTGAAGATGACAAAATGGGCTTTCAACAGTATTTCAAAAATTGTTTTTCCTCCAGCAGGAGATTCATCGAATTGAGCCTTTCTCACTGATGTTTTTGGCTTCAAGAAATTGGCATTGTCTGAGGAAGAGACATTTTACTAGCGAGAAAGCCAGACCAGAAGTTTTACAAACAACCTTGTGTGGCTGATCTGTTAGGTGGAATAATAGAAAGGGCAGCTGACCAAAGAGGATGGTGGTGCGGTCTTTGCTATGAATCCTTCATCCATCTGGGCAGGAAGCACTGGGTTAATGCCATTTATATTGTTACCTCTTATCATTAGGTCACTAAATTCTCTTAATGGTATGGTGCACCCCATGCATCCCCCCATGCTGATGTAGAGTCCCAGAGGCACCCATGTGCCTCTGTCTGTGCGCTAGAGCACATTTTCTTCTCACTCTCCCAGGCTCCATCTGTTGACATTAATGCATTACTGACACCTTTCCTCCTAAATTTCACTGACTGTTGCTTTATCCATTAATCAGTAATTATTTTTTTTTAGTAAAATGTGCATGAGCAGCATCCTAATTTATACTATGAGACAATGCTCATCTCTCCATCTACTAGTCTGCCCTCTTAGCTTTCCACATACATGTACTCTTGGAGCCCTTGGCTTTTCCCATTCTGCTTGGTGTCTGCCCCTCAGACTGCTGGACATGCTGGTGTGCAGGTCCTGAAGGAGGCCAGGGTGTTCAGAGCCTCTCCACTGAGGCTGCAGGAAACACCCCAAAGGGAGGAGAGGCTGACCTCCAGCAGGGCTTTGGTGGATTCTGTATGTTTGGCCAGGTCTGCATGCTGAGCCAAGGGAATGGCTGCCTGAATTCCCCCTTCTAGAGGTGTGCAGAGAAGACACACACCTCTCTGCTCACTGCTGTCTTTCTTCCTGTTAGCAGCCCTCCAGACCCTGCATCCTTTTCCCCTCTCTTCTCTGAATCCTCTGCATTTCTCCAGTCCTCTTCTATAGGCAGACTGATAAATCCAGCAGAGTGATGCTGCCCAGCTAGCAACCAGCACAAGAGTTTACATGCTCATTTATTGGGCTGAATTTTTTAAATTTTGAAGGATTTCTGTCTTGCTGGCTACATTTCTTGGATCTGCCTTTTATCACTCTCCAGTCTTCATCAGACCAGCTCTCCTGTTTGCACTGGCTTGTTAGAGTCTCTCTATGCTTCTGCCTGTATTTTAGCACACTCAAGAGATTTATTTCTTTTCCTTCTAACAGTGTGTTTAAACTCACCACCTCAGGTTTCTGATTGCTCCCATATATTTGCACGAGCTTGAGCTGCTGGTTTTTTATTATTATTATTATTTTTTGTAGGTCTCTGAGCAGAGCATGGGTTTCTGGTACAAAGTGCAGGGCAAGCAAGCTCACTGCAGGAGAAATTAGTGTTATATCCAAATTCCCTTCTCACACCAAAGATGTGGACAGAAATGTTTCTCTGTATACCCAGGACCAATCTGGCTGAAGCAGGAGAGCAGGACTGCACGCCACCAGCAGAGCGGGCCTAGGGGGGGAGATGAGGCAGTGTCAAGATCCACTGGGACCTAGACAGGCTGGAGAATTAGGCAGGGAGAAATTGAATGAAATATAAAAAGGGCAAGTGTAGAGTCCTGCATCTGGGCAAGACCAGTTCCAGGCACCAGTATCAGTTGGGGACTGCCCTGCTAGAGAGCAGCAAAGGACCTGGGGTTCCTAGTGGACAGCTGGATGACCATGAGCAAACACAGTGCCTTTGGAGCCAAGAAGGCCAATGGAATCCTAAGGTGTATCAGAAGGGCTGTGGTTAGTAGGCCAAGAGAGGTTCTCCTCCCTCTCTACTCTGCCCTGGTGAGACCTCATGTGGAATATTGCATCCAGTTCTGGGCCCCTCAGTTCAAGGACAAGGAACTGCTTGAGAGAGTCCAGCGCAGAGCCACAAGGATGATTAAGGGAGTGAAGCATCTCTGTTAAGAGGAGAGGCTGAGGGAGATGGGTCTCTTTAGCTTGGAGAAGAGGAGGCTGAGGGGTGACTTTATTAATGTTTATAAATATGTAAATGGGGAGTGTCAGGAGGATGGAGCCAGGCTCTTCACAGTGACACCCAGTGATAGGACAAGGGGCAATGGGTGCAAGATGGAACATAGGAGGCTCCAGTTAAACATGAAATGAAATTTTTTCATGGTGAGGGCGACAGAACACTGGAACAGGCTGCCCAGGGGGACTGTGGAGTCTCCTTCTCTTGAGGCATTCAAAACCCACCTGGACACGTTCCTGTGTGACCTGATCTGTGACCTGATCATTCCTCTGCTCCAACAGGGGAATTGGACTAGATGATCTTTCCAGGTCCATTCCAGTCCCTACCTTTCTGTGATTCTGTGATTTGTGGGCTGCAAAGAAGGAGCTTTAGGTACAGGCCTGAAAAATCTGTCTCAAGGCTGACAAATGGGATGACAGCCCTCTCAGGCTTTTGCTTTATTGCTGCTATTAGTTATTTTAGAAAAAGCATTGTAATCTGCCATCTCTCTCATGCATTATTCAATATGCTTCTTCATTTCCCGTCCCATACACATGTATTCACACCCCCAAATAGACCTAAGTCTATATATATACATACGCATGGACAAATAAATGGTCCTCTAGAATGATTTCAGAAGAAGGTTGGGTCAGCAAGCCCCAGTGGTGTACATAGCCCTCTGCAAATAACATATATATTATGTCCCTCTGTTTTCCCTGTGCTTTGCCAGTGTGCAGGTCCATACAGAGGTATGGTTTTACTCTGATGTTGCTACAGTTGTGGACCAGAGAGAACATGAGATCAGAGCAATGATCTGACTGCTTTAGGCACTACCCCAAGAGTGGGCAGCAGTAATTTGGAGCAAGGGTGAGGACCTACACCTTACAAGCCAACCCTGGATCAGCAGTACAACACAGTGGACCTGTTGGCCATTTTCTCACATCCTCTTTCCAGGGCTGTATAGCTCGCTCTCTGCTTCTTCCTTTGGGTTCTGGTGTGGGATAGAGGTGCATGTGGATGTCAGGTTACACTGCTGGAAAGCTCTGTCTAGAGAGCAGCATAAGAGCTTCTGACATACAGAGGCCAGTCTGAAGAGAAGTTACATCCTCTCCTTGTCCTCATGAGTGGACGCTGTGGTGCTCAAGAACCAGGCTGATTTCAGCCACCCCTGCAACACAGGCAGACAACATGTGAGGGCAATGTGAACAAGGACCCAACCCTCTGCCCCACCAGGCACTGTCCCATGCTCTTCTGCAGGAACTAGAACCCTTCATCAAAAATAAATAGATGGAAGGCACTGGCAGCCAGTGGTACAAGGCAAAGCCCCCCCCCCCTTCCTCCTCCTGGCACGGTGGTGCATGACGGATGCTCTGCTGTTCTGCTGCTGCTGTCGGGTCTCCCAGGGGAAAAAGGGTTCTTGTTCACTGTGTGATTCCAGAGGGTTGTTTCTCCTGAAAGCAAAAGCAAGTAGATTGGAGATGAGCTGACAGCAATGACAGCTGAGCTGAAGAGCAAGAGTGAGATTTAACATCTCTGGAAATGGGAACTGCTAGAGGAATAATCAGAGCTGAGGATAAAAGCTTGGAAGTATCTGAGAGGCAAGGAAAGATCAGACTCAACCTTAAAAAGTGGTGTTTTTCCACAACGACACTGTGCTGTGGCACAAAGTCACCTGGGAGGGAGCATGTGCAGGAACACGGTGTCAGGATGGGCTCTGAGGGGCTGGTACCAGCCTGGTACCTGGCCGGGGCCAGGGGCTGGTTCTGTGCTGTGGCCTCATTAGCCAGACGGTGTTGCACCTTCTGCAGGCATCCAGCTGGGCACCTGTGGAGAATGTTTTACACAAAGCTGGCCAAAACCAGTCACAGAACAAAGCCAAGCTCTTGAAAGCACTGCAGGCACTGAGAAAGCTTGATCACCATATGGCTGAAGGAACAAACTAGACTTCAGAAAATACCCTGGGAAGAAGAACAGACATCTGCCAGCACTAAAGCTCCACAAGTATGTGGAAGACCACTGGCAGGCATTGAAACAGTTCCTCTCTCACTACATGCCAACAAAAAAGTAGGTAGGGAGCAGCCTTGTTTCTTGCTCCAAAGAACTTCACATGCTTAGAGGTTTCCTGCTCAGACAGGCAGGGAAAATGGAACTACAGAGTTGTGTTGAAAGACTTTAATGCCTACTGCACTCCGTGGTGAAACAAGACATTTCAGAGTCCTGCACTAGGACATTTCTCAGAAGAGTTTGTTCCTTCTATCTGTCTTTCCTTGCCAACAATTACAAGTTTCCCATTCAGGCTAGAAATCATTAGTACTAGTGATTTAAGGGAGATGTCATCACGATCCCTTCCGATGGCTGAAAAATGACTCGGGTAGCATTCGGAGAAAGGATGAAGAATCCATCAGGGGAACTTAGTCTCATCTTCTTTTCATTTGCTTTCATGAGCCCAGCTGTGCTTGGCAGAGAGAGATACATACAAGAGAACAGGGATGCAGAGTAAATGGCAGTCTGGCTAAATAATTGTCCTTGTTCATAATTCACTGGCTCTTGCCAGCTCACTAGGAGAAGAGAAAGAGCCATGGTGAGTCCCGGTGAGCTAGCCCCAGCTGCAGGGATCACCTTTGCAACTCACCATAGGCTGTTGCAGTGTGTTTTTCATCCCACTGAGAGACAGAGGTGTTGGTGAAAAGCTAGCAAGTTTCCCAAATGACACAAGTGCCAAACCAGGCTCATTTCCATCCAGACTTGGCCTTTTGCAACACCTTTAGTGAAGCCCCAGACACCAAGTTGCAGGGCATCGTTTAGCCCAGACCTTGCAGAGGGTTCTGCTGGGAGCTTTCTCACTTGGATCACCCTCCTGCACATGGTTAATCACCTCCCAGAAGCATTTAGTCTTGGGATACGCCTGTCTCCTCCCTTTCTCCAGCAACTGAATCCTGTCAGTAGTCCTCCACCAAGAAGCAACAGATGAGATAATTGGTCTTGACCCCATTATGGATCTTTACCCTCAGCTGGGGAGACATGGGCTGAAACTGCAGTTCTGCATAATGCTGAGTGAGTTCAGCTGTTGCCAAAGGATGAGGGGTGTTTTGTAGCTGACAAGGGCTTCTTCTGTCTCTGAGGAAGTGATGAAGCATCTTGCACATGACAAGCTGTTCAGCTGGTGAGCACAGAGACAGCATCATGTAGGCTTCTCCTGGTAGGACCCTACCAGTTTCCAGGCTCTGTCATTGTTGTTCCTCACTGCTCTCCTCCCACCTCGTCCCGACCTGGTATGCAATCTAATGGTCCCCAGCCCGAGCTCCCAGTTTAGTCCTATCTTCTTGCCCCAAACCTTTCCTCTTCCCTGCTTTTCTTGGTTTTCTAAAAGGTTTTCCTGGGGTCAGCAGAAATAGACAACTATTTCCAGTCTATCTCAAATTCCTCGGGTATTGTTTTGGCACATAAATTATCTGTCTTCAGAATTTGCCCTAACTGAAGTTGATACGTGCATAAACTGAAGTATTTCAGTCAAAATCAGTAGTGTCACATGTGATTTATCAGAAAACCTAATTCTGCTCGCCCAGCCTGAACAGGACGGAATATCAACAGCATCACCTCCCAAAAGAAGAGGCAGAGGGATCCTTAGCTCCCTGACTCCTCCTGGCTCCAAAATGTTTTCTCCTCCTCTCTGAATCAAAAGATGCCAGCACCTGCCAGTGCCTCTTCAGTGCAGAAGAGCTTGTTGTTGAGGCACACAAGGAGTCAAGGGGAGCAGGAACATGAAGGCATGCCCAAGACTGCCAAGTGGCCTCCAGCCTGTTGCTTGTCAGAAGAAAACTATTAAATGCCATTAGCCAGGAATTATTTTCTAAAAGGCTCTCCGGAGATCAAGAAGCTTTGTAGCTCCAGCCTGTTACACACTCCTGAGAGCTATGCCTCAGTTTCCTAGGACATTAAGTGGGTAAGAAAAGCTGAATGCAGACAGGCACTAGGGGGTAATTAGGCTTGCAGGAGAGATCTGAAGATTGAACTGACCACATAAATTACTTATGCAAGTTAACATTTTCAGCACAGTGAGAAAAGTGATTTGTAAATACTGTGGTGAATCCTGGGCTACGTTTTTCTTAACTACTTTTGCAGTATTTTTTAATTCAGTTTTGCAGAAGCACTGGCTGCAGTGGATGCTTTTTCTGGTTGGTGGTTTTTGCAGGATGTGACCTATAGCCTGTGAGACAAGCTTCATTTAATCACAAAATGAGATTTGTTTTAGCTAGAAATAAAATTAGGTTGAAAATCTTTTGAGATCCCATTGAAAACAAGAATAAAATTATTGAATTGGAGGTAAGGTTGAATGCAAAATGCAATAACCTAGTCAAAAAGTGTTTGGGGAGAATACTGCAAGAATGAATTGAGCTAGCATGTAATGCTCCAGGAAATTCAGAGTTTGGTTAGATTTACACGAAAGCTAAGAATCTGAAAGTATGGGAATAAAATTTAAGACCTTCTCCAACCTTTCCTGCCCTTGCAAATCTGACAGTCTCTAGACTTTCCATATTTGTTCCTTTAGTGCAATCACGTTCATATTTCCATATATTTTGAAGTCTGGCGAGACAACACAATAAGAGAGAAAAATAACAGTAGATGACTGTGGAGGCATACTGTCTTATGAATTTAGAGAACTCATGGTGCCCAGTTCAAGAGTTATGATTAAACTGAAATATTTGTTGAGCAACACTGGTTTTGAGCAACAAATTTAGAAATGTTAGCATTTTTTTTTCATGGCCACTTTCCCCAGGAAAAAGGCTTAATTTACAGACTCCAAAGCTGGTTGGGAACTGTTTGGCTGCTTCAGTTTGTCATTGATTGGAATCATTGCAAAAATCTGTGCTATCAGTTGCACAGATTGTGGCCTTATAGAGAAAATAATGAAGAAAAAAAAAAAAAAAAAAAAAAAAAAAAAACCTTAAAACTGCAACAGAAGCTCAGAATGTGGTATAAGATGTTGCTACTTAAAACTGCAACAGAAGCTCAGAATGTGGTATAAGATGTTGCTAATAAGCACAAAGTATCTTTGTTTGTGCCAAGAAGTGGCACAGCAGAGGCGTGGACATGTATACTGCCTGTGCATATAAACACATACATCTTTCACCAAACATGAGAGACCTAAACTTTTAAGATGTCAGCTTGAATAGAGAGAGCTTTTTTGGACTCTTTTGCCAGTTTCAGGAAGTTTCTCCACCATTTGAGCATGGCTGGGTTTTAGTAGGGGGTGGTTTTGCAGCCTGACTTCCAGTGCTTTGGGTGCCTGCGACATGTGTGTCCTTGCATCCGCCTGTCCTCCTTCCTCACGTCGAATGCATTGCCCAATTTCCAGAAATTTTGATTGAGGATTCGGAGCCACTATGGGTAATGGAAACATTTTGCAAGAAGACAGGCCAGTTCCTGCAGTCGTGGAAGAAAAATATCCTAAGCTCACCTCCTCGTAGACATCAGAGAGCCCACACTAGAAACAGCTTTGAAAACCCATTTTTATTCTGCTGTTCTAAGAGCTCCTTGCTTTTGAATCAAACGCAAGACCCACTTTCAAATACAGATTGCAGTGCAAGGCTCGAAGAGTAGAGCATCTTCCTAGAAACCCCTGGCACAGCAAAAAAATAAAAATAAAAAAAAAAATTACCTGCTTATATTAAGAGGTTATATTTTTAGTGTAAGAATTAACTGTTCTGCACAGTGAGCATTCCCTCCTGCAGTGTGTGATGTTATGTATTCTCAGATCAAAAGCTGAAAAATAACAAAGAAAATCTTCTTTCAGGGTTTTCTCCACCCAAAGTACCAGTTGAAAGGCTAGCTAAAGATTTTTTCATGAAACTTATCTAAGTTTCTTAGATAAAATTTGAGTGAGGACTCAAAATGTATACTTTTTCCCCATAAACCAAAGCCACAATATTTTCTTTTTACATATGGACCTCCCATTTTTCCATTTCTTTAGGAATTCATTTCCAATATCAAATTGCAGCCAAAAAATGTTGGTCTTCAATTACTGACATTCAATTTATTGTCTCTCTGAACACTTGGCTTATGCCAGTTCAGAAAGGTACAGTAATGTACCTTTGCAAAAATAATTTGCATTTCATTAGCTCTTAAAAGATGGCTGAGATGGCTCTTGAAAGATGGCTGAGCAAGTTAAGTAGGGACCAGCAATATTTTAATTAGCCTTCTAGACATTGTCTTCTGCAAAATTAGTCCCTCTTAATTACATTTGTTAAAACATCCCATAGCAGGCCTACTTAAAGATCTCTCTGCAGTGTGGCTCTAGCATGGTGGACACTTAAATAAATCCAAGCATTTTCCCCAGCTTTGGAGCCTTTGATGAGCACCTGTGGCTGAAAGCGCTCCTTGCACGAGGTTCCCTCCAGGTCTGGGCTGCTGAGCTCTTGAGAAGCAGCATTAATTAGCATTTATCTCTTTGGCGGAAGGATTGTAGCCGTTCACTGTATGGCCTCGCTGTCTATCAGGGAAATTGCAATGGGTTACGTTGACAACAGCAGGCCTGGCTCTGGATGAAATATATCTAGGAGATTTACAGTACAGAGCAGCATCAGTCGTCTCATAGTCTGCGCCTTCCTGATGATACATACTACCGTCGGTCCCAGGATCAATCACCAACTCCAGCAGGACTAGGCTTTATCAGACGTGTTTCTGCAGACAGCCAGCTGTCTTTCTTCACTGTTCTGCTATCATGCCATCTATTAGAGGGCATGATAGTTAGCACACTAAGTAGTTAGCACACTAACTAGTTAGAGTGTCTGGGGACTTGGAGGAGAGTGAGAAGGTTCAACTGGCATGGGCAGCTCTGTTGGTGGGGATGGGAAGGAAACTGGCACCACCACCTAGCTGGGTCTGGGTCAGAGGGAGAAAGCATAAGGAGCCATCTGAAGGGCAGCCAGTTACTGAGGGGCCAGGATTATCCTGGCATGCAGCAATGGCCCCTTTCTGGAAATCCTCCTGCCAGATTTCCTGAATGACAGTTACGATGCTACATTTACCCCTTTGCCTCTACATCCTGCACCACTCAGGGATGCCTTCTGCATTGCAAAAGGAGGGAGATCATGTAATGTCTTGGTCTTGCTGCATCACAGCAAACATGATGTGGGTAGGGAAAGCCCCCTCAGGAAAGGGGGCTAAATATTATTTAATCATGACCTAAATATTATTTAATCATGACCACAATTTTCTGCCAATAAATAAATAAATAAATAAATCTTTAGAAAATACTCAATTAGCAATGAGCATAAGCCAATGCACTGCTCTGGGCTGAGTCAGGGCTGTTCTCTTACCTGAAGGGGGAAGCCCCTTAGGGGATGCTTTCCAGAGCATGAATGCGGCAAACTCCTTCCAACCCATTGGTTGTGCTCAGATTTTCAGGCTTTAAGAGTTAGTGTTAAACTCAGCTTCTTTTTCCCTGCCTTCCCAACTGGCAAGAGTGGGAGGTACTTGGTATTCACCAAAGCAGAGCTCGTTAAGGCCAAGTGTCAGTTCCTGGGCAGACAGATGTTGGTTGTGTTCCTGAAGGCAGCAGTGTGGGAGTGCTTGGACTCAGCAATGAAGGTGGCATGACAATGGAGCTACAGGGGGTTAGTACAGAATTTGTGCCCAGAGAATCAAGTAGGAGCCGGTGCTCACTGCGGGACATTTCACGAGTACAACTTCTGTGTAGCACCGGGTCCTAAGCATCTTGCCCCCAACAGCACAGGCTCTGAATTTAAGACTCCTCCTTCTAGCCCTTTGGACACTGTCAGAAGCAATGTTTCATCCTTCTCATGAGTCATGCATGGGAAGTCAGCAAAAAAATGGTGCCAGAGATGTCAAAAATGGTAGCCTGAAGACTGTGTAATGAGATGTAGCAATGTTGATAGCTGTACTTATACCACAGTAAAATCAGTCTCCCTTGTCTAGACAATAGCTTCGCCTCTTGACCTGACCAAAAGAGCATCTTTGGGCTGGGAAAGATATTCAGGATGTGCATAAAACTGCCATCCCCATGTAATGAATGATATTGCATCCAGAGGTCTTCAACAACTGTTGTAAGGCTGTCTGGACACATGATATCACTCCTGTAACTCCTGGTCATTAAGAGAAGCCAGAAAAGTTTAATCTAGATTTTTTAAGTTTCTGCTGAAGCTATCTTAGGGAAATCACATGAGTTCCCTTTGTAGAAAAAGGCAGTTGGGTTGCTGGGAGGGGAGACTGGTTGCAAAAAAGACTGTGACAGCATGTTCTGTACCAGGAAGCAATTTGAAATATGTTGGTCATATTCTGTTGTCAAGATCTCATACATCATTAATTTTCTCTAAGCAAAGTAAATATCATAAGTGACATAATAGTGGGGAAAATGTCACTGTGAAAAATGGGTAATAATCATAATCAATTCTGCTAAAGACGTACTAATCAAGCTTGTTTCTCATTGTAGCAGACCCTTTAGAAGTGCAACATAAGAGATGTTTCTGGACCTAAAAGCTTGCAAGGAAAATCACTGTTTCCATGGGTGATTTGGGGGCAACAGAGACGTTCAGCCAGCCCTAATTCCCTCTTTGACTGAAACCTTATAAGTGCTGTTCCCGAATACCAGTGGCACGAGTCTAAACGAAGAATAAAAGCTGTGTTTATAGGCAGGAAGGGTTGCCCTCCACACCTGCCCTAGGAAGATTTCTTTTGAGCCCAACACTCTCCAGCTGTGCAAAGGCTTACGAAGTCTGAGGGGCTTTGGGATCACACTGTCCCCATAAAGTAACACAGAATCAAGGAGGCTTCTCACA